GTAAATTGTAGGGATGTCAATGTGACGGTTAAATGTTTGTTTGTCTAAACTATGCCACGCTTCTTTAAACTCACGGGCATGTTTAGTAGTTGCTTGTCCTAGGCATCTCGTTTGAGACCAGTCGAATTTGTGTCAGTGATGTTTTCCAGGGGAAACGCGGGGGAACGCCGTCCCCCCACCTTTTTTTACCAGGGGGACGGCGTCCCCCCTGCCAAAATCAAACGTGGGGGAACGCCGTTCCCCCTGGCAGGGATTAAATATCAGTGAAGTTCAGTGAACACCGTTTGACACCATCCAAATAATTTTGGCATCACTTGTTCTACATACGTGTTATTTTTGGCAATAATTGCTCAGCGTGCTCCCTGAAACTTGATAATTATACTTGCATAAAATGCTAGCAGACTAGCACAAAAATACGAGAGTCTGATAATTGACGTCCGCTTAGATAAGTACTTACCAGTCACAAGCGCGGATAACGTCTCTCGCGCAATCGCGAAATTAAACATTCAAATGAACAATAAAATGATCAATGGGACATAAAATGATTCAATAAGAACATTAATTGATTTAATGGATAGGATAAAAGGATATCTATTATCTAAGCTTGTTTAGTTACTCGCGAAGACGTCATATTCAACTTGCAAAGTCCCTGTTTGCCGAGTTACTCAAATAGCGCTAATTGCATCATCGAAATTCGAAAGTCAACGTGGTTTTATTTGCTTTTTGACATTTACCACGCGCAAGATTGGTGTTCTTTAGGTAGATATTGTACTACGCAATAGCTTAGTTTTTGAAGTGGATTTATGTACTTGTTTACTATGACTATGCATGAGGCCACGCCCAATCAAGTGACCACGCCCATTTGATTTTCAAGACCGTCCCCCCACTTCTAAAATTAGCAAAACATCGCTGATTTGTGTCCGTTGTCGTCTGTGTGTTTAGCTGGAAGTGAGCTATGGTCGTGTCTGTTGATTGCGTTCTGGTGTTCTGTTAGTCTTGTCTTGTCTTTTCAGACAAGACTAACAGAACACCAGAACGCAATCAACAGACACGACACAACGGACACAAATTCGACTGGTCTCAAACGAGATGCCTAGGACAAGCAACTACTAAACATGCCCGTGAGTTTAAAGAAGCGTGGCATAGTTTAGACAAACAAACATTTAACCGTCACATTGACATCCCTACAATTTACTTACAACTGAAACGCTCTTACAAATCTCCTAATTCATCTTCATTAACCTTTAACCCACCCTCAACTTCCTTCCCTACACCGTCTCATGATAACAATAATCACCAGCATTCGATAGTAACTAATGGCAACCAACATATTGAAATCCATCAACCAATCAGACGTTCCCACAGACTTCAACAACGTCAACAACAGCGCGAAAATTCAAATGATCAATCTTTCTGATAAAGGCTCGAAGTACCGAGTCGAAAGCTCAAAACAAATAATTACAATCCGGAGAACACTGTATAATTTTGTAAAAACTATAATTTAATATATATATATATATATATATATATATATATATATATATATATATATATATATATATATATATATATATATATATATATATATATATATATATATATATATATATATATATATATATATATATATATATATATAGTACGTATTTAATATTGTACTTATTTAATTGTTTTTTAGTTACGCAGATGTAAAGCTACTATGTAGATAAGCTGTAATAAAGTCTTTATTATTATTATTATTATTATTTCTGTTAGCAATGATAGCCACAAAAAAACATGAAATGCGCCTCATTTCCAAGCTTGGCGCTATCCACCCCTATGGTATAAATGAACGGTTTTTTAATGTTTAGCTATATCCATCCTTTCCAAACTTTAATTCTCACCTTGTTCTTTACTTGTTTCATTATATTCCTCATATTGTCTACTATCCCGTATAGTTTCCTTCCTCAGATTTTTTTGTTATTATTTCCACACTACCTTTAATATATATCCCAATGACCACAACTCAAATATCACAGGTGGCTATAAAGCCCGCCATCCATTACACTGTTGAACATGCGCCGTAAAGTGATAGCGTGACCGTTACGTCCGCATCTTCCACGCGGGCAAAGCAGACGTAATCAAAACGGTAGCTGTCTTATCTTACTGTTTTAATTACTGTAAAATGTAAATAAACACTCACCGGCTTGGTCCGTAGTACCTTCCATTTCTCCTCCGAGAGGTCCAGCACCTGCTGCTGTAGAAGCTTTGACTGCTACGTAATACTTTGTAAATACATTCAGTCCCGTTATAATCGTACTTAATGTGTCATTACCCACGGTTTTCTGATCGCTATTTGAACAATTAACGGACGCGTTTAACGAGTAACACACAGTGTATCCTGTTATTGATTCGTTTGCACTTGCAACAGCTTCCCAGGTGATTTTCAACGACGTGGAGTTTAATGCTGTAACATTAGCGATAGTCACACCACTCGAAGGTGCTAAAAGAAGAAGAAAAAAATTCTTGTAACAATATAAACTCTAGTGTGGTTATTAACTTACTTTTCGGCAACAACATCTTGCTTTCTTGGAAACATTCCAAAATACTAATAAATTCAAATATGGTGTTTATGTCTGGAGGAACATTTCCAACTATATTATCCGGCAAAAAATGTTCTATTCCACTAAGTAACCGAAAACAAGTAATATACTGTATACTGTAATGACATTAAGACTATAATATTTGTATGTTCCGATTTCCTTCCGAACGGCGCAAGAATGGTTTTCCGTAAATACTATAACATCGGTGCGGTTTGTAACGTAGGGCCTACATTGTGATACAAAATAAACCTGTTTATGCAAAGTAGAGAAAACTCTATAGTTAGTCTAGGTATAGGAGTTTCTAGGGTAAAATGACCATGGCGGTCAACATGGCATAGGTGCCAAAACCTGAACTGATCCGGGACGAAAGTCCTGAAAATAACCCCGTCCTGAAACGGCATAAAATGCCGACATAGCTATAACTTCCGAAAAGCAAAAGCGACCGTCTTTCTGAAGTGCTTATATTGTTTAAAAGGGTTGCTTTTATAGCGGTGGTTATTGGAAGGAAATGTTTGTCTATATTGAGTATAATATTTTACAAGAAAATGACCATGTACCATTATCATTGGATTATATCACTTTTAATTAATAAAAATATCACTTTTAATTAACAAAATTATCAATTTCCCAAATATATATGTTAAAGGTATATGTTATAGTATAAGCTTCAATTTAAATTAATTAAACCTAATAAAACACTCCTGCATGCTCGTTTATTAAACAGTACTTAAACTATTTACATTAATACAAGCTATTTTAAAACCTTTAATATTAGCAAAGAAATTCAAAGGAGAACTAATATTGCTATCAGTTAATATTGGTTATGACCCTGGGTTTGTTCCCAAATAGTCTTCACTGCCTCTCCCACTAATTTCATCATCCGAAAACCCGATTTACGACCCGTAGAAAACTGGCCGTTAGATGATCTCGACCGTAAAAATCACCGTAATAAATTGAACGGCTAGCAATGATATTTCTTTGGCATTCAGATGCAAATTACTATTGTTTAAACAAGTATACTATCAATGGCAGACTCATCTGTAAACTGAAAGTTATTGTCATAAGCTAACCTTTGAAGTTGATCATTAACTTACACACGAATTAGATCTACATTAATATCTTCTCTATATATATTAAATTTGGAAATTTTGTTTTAACTTTACCGACAAAATTTTTAAGTTTATCAATACATTCATTCAGCTTGAACTGTCGTTATACGTTAATAGTCCCACAGTGAATAATGACTTGAGAAGGATCGTCATTGACATTAATTAAAGCTATCAATGCATTCAGCAATCTCCTCACATGCAGATTCTGCCGAGATAGGTAAATTTTCTCACCGGTCCTTGGGACAATTTTTTCGGGTTAATATGCTTAATAATTAAATCGCCAATAATTACAATAGGTTTTAAAGATCTTTGTGCATTTTGATGTTGTACTTCCTTATGTGAATTCGGTTTTTATTCTTTATTCTTTATCTTGTTATTATAACTTCCAGCTACCATTTGGCTTCCCTCTATTATTTTCACGCATTATTTGGGTTCACATTCATACAATAATTACACTGACTGAAAGGTCAAGTGTCTTAAATCACTAATTTTCTGTCTTCTGTTTTCGTCGTCAAGGAATCCAGTTTGCGTTAGCGCACCGCATATTCGCAGGCTCAGGGTGCAACGATTAAGGCCCCGTTTACACTATACCGGATTGCATCGGAGCGTAGCGATTTCCATACCGGATTCGGCTGTTGTTTACACTACGCCACAGTAGTCCGGTACGCGACGCGGAGCAAAAATCACTCCGCTTTGGAGGTGATATGAAAAGTAATCCGGTGTGTGCCAGAGCAGTGTAAACAGGCTAATCCGGTACGCTTCGGTACAAAATGGGTTTTAGCGTGTATGTTTTAACATTGTCGCCTTTATTTGCTCGCTGTTACAATACTTTATAGCTGTTGTTTGTTTGGCTTTGCAACCATTTACTATTTCTGCCGAATACGAGTAAGGAAAACGATAATAACATTGACTTTTCGCTTTCGAAAGAGCAAAATTTAAAGAAATACTCTGAAATTTTGGATTAGAGCGAAACGAAGCAACGTCTGGTGGTCAAGCTTTTAAAAACAAATTTATACTTTACAAAGAAAACGGGTGTTATTCTTGTTTTTAATAAATTTTGGTATATTGGCTACTTGTTTCCATGGGGACACTGAAAGACATGAGCTGGCAACAGAGCGAAGCGACATAGTGTAAACACCCTTGATTTTTTACTTCGGAGTAAAAATTAATCCGGTATGAAAAGTAATCCGGTATACAGTGTAAACGGGGCCTAAGCCAAAATGCAACCGATTCCTCGATTCAAATACTATAGTATTAAACTATAACTAGAAATACATGCATGCAACAACCCCTCGCCGACATTTTCCAAACATTGTTTTAACATTAAGTACTCTAATTACGTAAACACGGAACGCAGGCTCGCGTTGCTCGCGTCATGTTACCCATGGCAACACGATAAATTCATGTTTCGCTCGCTACTCTGGTTTAAATAAATTATTACAAAGCCCGATCGAATTGTAATCAAGACCCAACGTTTCGACACTCTAGTTATTAAGGCAACCTTAATATTACAATTACTTAATATTCTCTTGATTGGTTCTGTGACACCTTGAGAATATTTAGTAATTGTAATATTAAGGTTGCCTTAAAACCCTATTTGACTTTAGCAGTTTAGGCCATATTTCCGCAAAGCCAAAAGATCCTGTTAAAACAAATCAGAAAACTCATGCTGTATATTCTATACCATGCGGTGACTGCGAGAAAGATAGGGATGTGCCGGATCCGATAAAATTTATACATCCGGCACTATCCGGTATAAATTTGCCGGACATTTACCGGATAGTACTGTAAGATATTTTGGCGTTTAAAAATTGTGAAACACGAACAATTACTGAGCGTGCGCTGCATTACGACGAAATTACGACATATTTTTTTCGTGATGGTGATGTGAACAGCTCGTTCGCCAACAGCAGTGAATTTTACATACTGAATACCAGTAAACAATGTAAGGTGAATCATAAGATATGGCCTTGGTAAAGACAAATAGGTCAAAAGAGACAAAAAATGTATATTAAACACATTGCTACATTGGACTAGTTAATTAAGTTATAAAAATGTTGTGTCTCTAATAAATTATTGTATGGGAGTGTCTGGTTATTATCCGGTATCCGGTTATTATCCGGTATTCGGTCATCATTTTCTCCTGAATTTTTTCTAACATATATAAAGTGCATGGTATGTTATTTTGATTTTTTGGCCGTATGGGCTTTGCTCTAATGAGTAAAATTCAACACGTAAAACTTTTTTAATGTTCATTTAAATTAACTGCGTTTTAATTTTGCTGATAAACTCTTCATACTTATTACTCCGGCGTACTTTCAAATGAAATAAATTTAAATCATACAGGTCGCTCTTGAAATTCATTTTCTCCTTTTTTTGAGCTTTTATAATAAAAAAACAAGTTAATTCAAAGAAACTTTCACATAGAATGAAAAGGAAAGATGTACATGTTGTTCAAGGCCTTCAGGCGAAAAGTCCGAAAACTGGGCAGCAAAGTCATACATAAACAGTAGAAACAAACTTACCCTATACTTCAGGATTTCTAATACTTTCTTTAAGATTTAAAAGAGGTGATTTACAACTTATTGTGGAAAAGATGTCCAAAGCTTTCTGTCATGCATGTTTTTTAATCTTTGCTTCCTTCACTCCTGGCAAACAGCTATATTTTTGAGATCAGTGAGATGACCATCCATGCATAGCCATGCGCCCGCGATCATTGATGAACTTTAGACTTCGCTAGTCACGGGCTCGTATTTATGTACGTAATAGACGGCTCATGCATGCCATGCTTTTGGAACATTTTTCGTTTATTAGCCAATACACTTGTACGACCGCGCACAGTTCCGAACTCCAAGGGTAGAGTGCTCCAGTGACATATTCAGTTCAGTTTCAAAATGGCGGCTTTTCACTGAGTGATCCCCGAGCACGCGCAGAGCGCGTAGGGCGAAGCATATAGATTATAAATAACACTAGAGGAGGCATTGTAATCTCAATTCAGTAAAGAAAGGGAACGCGGCTATTGGGAGCAATTCCAAGACCCGGATGTGTATTCATGCTCCCATTGGTGACGAGTTTCAAATCAGCCAATGAGAGCACGATTTTAAATCCGGGACTTGAATCCCCCCCCCCCCCATTAGCTGCGTTTCCAATTTTTAAACTCGATGCCCCCTCTA